GAAATGCACTGAATGATTTTTGTAATGCAGAAAAATGTACATGGATGAATATATAATGTAACTCTTCAATTAGTACCACTCAATGAAATATCTCTTAAAAAATACAAATATAAACTCTTTGTTTCAGAATATGAAATAATTTTTAGTTTCGGAAATAACTGTAAAATCGACCTCAAAAACAAGTTGGCAATGTCGCACACAAAGACAAATCAACCAAAATACAGGAGGACGAAGAAAATTAAATTCTGCAAAACGAATAAGCTTTAGATAGATAGATAGATAGTTCGATAGTTCTTTATTTCCAACAGGTATTTCCAAAAATGTTTTAAATGTGATAGAAATGTACATTCACATGTGGTGTTGCCAAGTGCCTATCAGTGCTACTGATATCACGACCATCGTTTTTAGTCCATTTTGAAAAAATTTTGACAAAAATATTGTTGAAAATATAAAACGAGGTACTATTATACATGTTATCAAAATATCAGTGGAAAAGTCCATTAAAGAATACGCTGCATATACGCTATATATAAAGCCCCTATATTGAGTTAAATCAATGTGAAAACATAACATTTGCAGCTTTTTATGATTTTACATAATTATACAGGCCGTTTCTTTCATCATACGAAGGAGAGTACGATTTGCGAAGTGGTTAAGTCGTAGAAATAGGCAAGTTGGAAATATTTCTATAAAAATAATATGGACGGACGATTCAAAATTCATCAACAATGGCTGGTTCAACACAGCGTTTTCCAAACTTTTTTGCCTGGGGACCCACCTTCATTATGGAATTTTTTTCGCGACTCACATTGAATAATATTACCTACAATTATTATTACTAATAATATTTTCATTATTATAATCGTGAAAATTCACTATTGAGGAATACAACTGTAAAAGAAAATGGTAAAGATGATATAATTGAAGATAAAATACAGTACGAAAAAAGACTTTTAATTCAGAATCTCAAAAATAAACAAATACAAAAAATGAAAAAATGAGACTTATGTAATTAATGTGACTTGTGGATCTGATGCTTACGATTCACAAGAGATTCTATATCTGGGTTGAAAGTTGAAATCTTTAAACGCAGGTCACTTTTCACACTAAGCCTATTTCTATATTTATTATTTAAATATACCAAAGTGGAGAATGCCCTCTTACACAAATATGTGTTTGAAAACCCCATTAGCTCTTTTAATGCTATGTTCGAAAGAACTGGATATTCTCCCTTAGCCTTTATCCAAAATAGGAAAAACAATTCAAAAGTATTAAATGTTTTCAATCTGTTTCCGCGACACACCCAAATTGCTCCCACGACCCACTAGTGGGTCGCGACCCATAGTTTGGGAACCACTGGTTTAACAGAAACATCCATTATAGATGGAATAATAGAATAAAACAGTTACATAGAGAAATCAATTTCCAGGAAAGGTTCGAGATAAATGTTTGGTTGGGAATTTGGGCAACAAACATACTAGGTCCTTTCTTTTACGATGAGCCTCTGAATGGTGAAATGTATTATGTCTACATTTTTTTGTCCAATGAGTTTGATGCCAACTTAGATGAATTGACACTAAAAACATTATCCGTGATATACAATATTTTCAACAAGATGGTGACCCTCCCAATAATTCGGGAATAGTAAGGGAACAATCAGATACAATATTCCCAATAAAATGGATTGGAATCAATGGACCTATTGCCTGACCAGTTCGATCCCCAGACCTTACTCCTTTAATAAAATTTTGTGTCTAAGGATACATAAAAAATAAGGTTATTTCAACACCTAGTATAGATATCAACCATCTCGAACAAAAAAATAAGAGATGCATGTAATAGCAATACACCCATCATGCAAGAAAATTGCTACAGAAATTGTATGGACACACAACTTATGTGCATTCAACAAAGAAGTCTTCGATTAATGTATGTAAATTGAAAGGAAGCAATCGATTTAAAACAAATAACTCTATATAAAGATGTGTAGATCATACAAAGAAGTAAGTTTCAGGCACAAATTGGAAGAAAAAACCATTTTCATATAAACATTGAATTTCACGAAAGGAAAATACTTTCGAAACAAATGCTTTTTATATAAACACTGAATTATACGAAAAATATTCTTTCTATTTCGTTTGCATTCCAAACATTCGTAATGGAATTGTATCAGAAATCATTCACAAAATTCCTACACATTATAATTAATGAAACAAGCAAATTTCACTTACATGGAACCCTGTCATCCTCACTGGTAATTTGTCACGTAGAATTGATTTTCTGTATTGGTTTTATTTTCCCCAAACATTTATTATAAAATAAATTGTTTTTCTGTTTGATTGTTGTCACTATTTCAAATGAAAAGCTATAAAAGTGTCAAGTGTGGGATATTATTGCTTTATCAGTATTTGTTATGAAGAAGTTGATGGTGGCCGTGTTGAAACGAAACGTTCAATCAAAGATTTATTGTTACATCATTATAGTAGGTAGGTAGGTAGGTCTAAAGTGAGTGGGTCTATTCGACCCTCCACCGCAACGAGTCACGATATTCCACTACTGGTCTTAGAGCTGTTTTAATATTGAAAAAAAATATATCTATGGTCTGAACAAGAAGGTTCAGTAGATACAGACCAATGGTGTATCTTGTTGCTCAGAGAATGTGAGCTGATGGTTAAGTCTAATACCTTTTGCCTATTACTAGTGACAAAAGTTGGATCCGAGCCCTCATCAATTACAGACAGTATATAATCAAAGAGTAACTCACCCATACGGTTTATATTCGTGCTGCCCAACGCTGTATGGTGTGAATTGGCGTCACATCCCATTACTAATTGTAGTTTGTTCCTTTTGCTTCAGTCGATAAGTCGTCTAACAGCAAGAGGAGGTACAGTATCCGAATCTCCCGGAAAGTAGGCGGAGCAGGCGATAAAATTCGTCTTACCCTTCTTGCCCGATAGGAAAATTTGGATGGCTACCACGTCTTGGGTGCAGAAGCCTGTAAGCAAAAAATGGTTAATACCTTTCCTGATGACCAGACATGCTCTGGGTTTCACCCCAGAGCACGCTATTACCTCACCAGGAATATTGCTCAGTCCGGTTACTCGGCCTGTATTTCCTGTCCATGGTTCCTGCAGGAAGGCAAGGTCGAATAATTCATCCTTGAAGTTTTTTCCAAGGAAGTATGAAGTGGTCTTGGCATGTTGTAAGCTTGCCTGCAAACACTTGAAGTTAAAAAGTGTTGCCGCAAACTTAGAACTCTTCGACCCTAGGAGAGAGAAGATGGGGGACAACTCCACCCTCCTCTCCCGGGATCAAGGGATGTGTAGGCTCAGATGATGAGGTGAGGCCACCTGCTGATTTATTGGATCTCTTTCACGAGACCAATTTCGTCTTCGCTTTCAGAGAGCCACGTCCAGCCTTTTTTCTTGGTTTTCTCGACGAGACGTTGGGCGTCTTCGTCTCCTGAGAAACACCTGTTTTCCCGGCCTCGGGCTGGGTGTGAGCCGGTGGTCCTATGTTTGGGTGGAGGTTTGGTTGAACTTCTCCCCATAGGTGGATTTCAACTCGGCCCCGCTTTATTTACTCTAATGGGTACACTAGAGTGACTTGTTTGAGTAATACATTATAGTACAAAGACAGCATTTTTAGCTTTCCCTGTATAACTCGATAAGTGCGAAAGTGTCCGTAAATTTTCTTTGACCCTTATGCTATTCCTCATGATAGTTACACGTTGAAAACGGCTTCTATAAGCTGTTAATACTGATCCAAATAAATGTTTTTTAGGAGATAAGCAATAATAATAATAATAATAGAATTTATTCATCAATCAAAGGTTATACAAGGCATTATACATACACATACATAACACTTATCAGACTAGTCAAGAAAGAAAAGAAGGTAATCTACAAATAAGTTGTTAATCGGAAACAAATCAGATAAATTGTACATACAATAGTCAGTCTTACAATTATGAGATATCACGAATTATAAAAGTATTCAACATTATAAAATACTTTTTCAAGAAGAAAGTTTTTCAATTTATTTTTGAATAGAATGTCATTCAGATTCACATCTATCAAATCTCTTATTTTATTGAAACACTTGATACCAATATGCTTTGGTGAATTTTCACAGACTGATAACCTTGAATAGGGTTGTCGAAGTTTTTCTTTATTCCTAGTATTATACATATGAGTGTCTTCATTCCTCATTATTTCTTTTTGGTTACGTTTTATGTACATAATCAGTTCAAGAATATTTAAACATGGAAGGGTTAGTATTTGGAGATTCTTGAATAAAGGTTTACATGTTGTGGTTGGATGAGCATGACAAATCGTTCTTATTATCCTTTTTTGAGATACAAATGCCCTTTCAAAGTGACAAGACGACCCCCAGAATATCACGCCATATTGTAGAGTAGACTGTACCATCCCAAAATAACATAGTCTCAAGATGTCTGCTGATACAGTATCTCGCAGATTTTTTATTATATAACATGTAGTGCTTAGTTTCGAACATACAGTATTTATGTGTGCTTCCCATGTTAGCTTACTATCCAAAGTAACACCTAAGAACTTGATGGTTTCCATGGATTGTATAGATTTACCAGATAAGGTTAAGTATAGGTCATAATTTGGATTCATGTTTTTTGGCAAGAACCGGACATAATTGGTTTTTTTTCCATTCAGGCTGAGGCCATTCTCAAAGCTATACCTTTCTATTTCATTAGATGCCTTGTTACTTAAATTTGTTAATTGATCAATGTTATTGTGTGACATCAGAATATTAGTGTCATCGGCATATAATATCATTTGATTTGCGAATTTACAGGTGTCTTCAATGTCACTCAGAAAAGCTACAAACAATAGTGGTCCCAGGATTGAACCCTGTGGAACCCCTGAATTTATTATTTCCTTTATTATTGGTGGTTTTGACAGTGAATAATACTTTGGTCATTTTAGTAATTTTACTGTTTTCCTGTATTCTTCATTCTGTTACAGGTCATACGAAACCAAGAATACCTACAGCTGAATGTAGAACAAATGGCAAGTTTATTGAGTAATGATGACCTTAATGTTTCATCGGAAGAACATATATTTCAAGCTTTAATGTGTTGGATCCAACATGATCCAGAAAATCGTCGCCAGCATATTGGTTATCTTCTTGGATTAGTTAAATTGCCACTTTTGTCGCCAGCCTTCTTGACTGATCAGGTTGAACCTGTAACTGAAGGTAAAAAAAATATTCAAAACCAAAAATATATAATTTGTTAGAAATTCACTGAGTCAGAAAACAAAAGTTATTGTAATGTATATTGCAGTATATGATATATTCAGCATTATCAGATCGTTCACATATAGTAAAAAAAGAACAGAGCTTAGGTTAGATATTTGAGGAACTCCACGATGAATATTTGCAACATTGGAAATTGTTTTAGTTTTTACCTATGTGATAAGTGAATTTGGAACCATTTGTACACACTTCCTTTAATTTTATAGCAATGAACCTTCCACAGCACTCTTCCATGTGTCGACCACTTTGGACAAATCGCAAAAAACCGTCGCGGCTCGTCAACATGTTTAATTTCCCTATATATCTCATACAAAAGTGAAAATATTATTTCTTGTGTGTTTTTTCTATGCTTGGTGCTTAATATATCATACGTGCATAAGAAGTTGTTCAATCTTATTTTAACAATTTTTTCAATGATTTTTGACAATGTCGGGCTAAGGATTACAGCTCTGAATTTGAAGGGATAGGTTAAATCACCATAGGTTCCACCAAAGAAGTTTTCAGAAAATACGGAAATATTTCTGAGTGGAAATAACTATTTATTAGTATTACTAAACAATTGAGGATATCTAGAGGTGGGTTTTCAATTTTTTTTTTCACAATTAATCAATTTCTGATGTGTAATCATACTGCTTATCTCTCTCAATTTTTTACTGTTAAAGCCATATAACACACGATTCTCATTCATAATAATAAACCTCAAATTAATGAAAAGATTGTAAGGAATAATAATTCTTTTAGTGTATTTGTAATTGAACAATAATATGTATGTATTGAGACTTTCAGGGTTATCTTCTTATTCTATAATACTTTTCTATATACTTTTTTATATTGTTGCTAGCATGCATATTTGATACGATTTTCATATTATTTGTTTTTTACAAGTCTTACGACTTTTCTGTAAGTTGAATTGTTCTTTGATATTAAATTATCTAAAACAACAAATCATTCAGGTGTCAACTCACCTATACTGTAGGTTATTGGACTGACACCTATCAGAAAACAACTACTCCCCTGGCTAATGCCACGAAGAGCGTTGGATTATATTCGACAGGTGTCATTGCAGGATTCTTCACAGAAGTAATTCCTGCATATGTTGATGATTGACATTACCTTGCAATGACGAGTGGCCAAATATCCCTAAACCAGTCTGCAAGTGTGTTCCGAAAATTGAAAATCGATTCCGGCAGTTGTATTTGATTTGCAGCCAGTCTTGATTCCTTACTATATGTGATGTTCGTTGATATATTTTCTTATGTAATGTAGCCATCAAAAATTTCTTATTGAATTCTTCATTTCCTTTATCAACCAATTAATTTCTTTTTCTTTTTCTGAACGGGGAATGCAGAATTGACATTTTTTACTAGAACCTTATAAAATACCTTGAATGATTTATCAGAAATTAATATGAAGTCCCAATTTGTTTGTTGTAATTTCATCTAGAACCTTTCATAGTTTGATCTAGAATAAAGGCGATCGTATTTGAATTTTTCATTTTCACGATTTGTTAGTATATTATATTATTAATTATACAATGTACTACCTCGTGATCAGACAGACCAGCTGATGAAACTGAACACTTTATATCATGATATTTTATGTTACTGCAAACATAGTCAATGCTAGTATCAATTCTAGTATCTGATTCAACATGCATGGTTAGTTTGAAAGCACCAAGGTCGGTCGGTAGCCAAGCGATTCGGCGTGGGTGCTTTGTTCACTCACTCGAATTGACTGCCGTGTTGGTCGGTGGTTCAAGCCCTAGTCTGAACGATCGATCTTCACTTGCTATCGTCCAACCCGTGTTAGGAATCACACGTTAAAAGGTAAGACCTCGTTAATCCTTAGCTCGCACAAGTTTCGACTTCTGAGGGTTGTCGTTCGTAGGGGTGCGACAGCTGGTTAACGGAAAAACAGATTTCAAACAGATTTATAAGAGCATGCATGTTGAATGTGTCAGTAAAATTTATATTCAGATCACTTGGCAGTATAATCTTAGAATTTGTAGAAAAAACTATTCAATTCGATGAGGAAACTTTGGGTACTTGATGCAGACGTAGTCTCCCCCACCCAACTTTCGAACAGGCTAATTTTGTAACTTCTCCATATGTCAGATATTTCGAAATAAATGTTCATTGGGAAGAGAAATGAATTAGTATCATTCTTTGCAATAGATAAGTAATAATTTCAAGGGCATAAAAGACAGCATTCAATTTCAACCTCGTTATTTTTGATCTATTACATAAAAAAATCATTTGAGCAAATGTTCAAAATATTCTCCTTGAACCCCTGACAGTAAAACAGTCAGTGGCGGTCGATGTTAAAGCTTGGATTTGCAACTGACCACCTTAGGGAGCCTCGTTAATCCTTGATATTCTAAATTCGAGTTAAAAGTCGAAATTTCGAAATTAAAGTTGAAATTTCGGGTTTAAAATATAAATTTCGAGTTTTGAAGTAGCGATTTCCGAAAAATCAATAATGAAAAAATGTGGCTCTTCTGCGCTTCCGTAGATATCTAACTAATGCTAGTAGCTCTTGAGAAATAGTTCAATGAGATCTAAGCATCTACCAAAACTTCATATGTTTTCGTCAAGAAAAATGAAGTATCTCTTGCTTTTTGGTTGTTCTTAGTATGATGGGTTCAAAGCGTGTTTTTGTTGAGTCCTAGAGATTCAGATTTCACCATATTTGAGATTTGAATATTTGATTTTGTTTTTATTTTGAATTAATTCACTCTGATAATTGTTAAGGTGATCCCGTTTGTCAAAAACTTATCATGGATGCCATGAAGTGGCATCTTCTTCCTGAAAGAAGACCACAGATGGTGTGTTCTCGAACAAGACCTCGAAAAGCAACATTGGGGAAATTATTGGTTGTGGGAGGAATGGATAAAAACAAAGGGGCTACTACTATTGAAAGCTATGATCCAAGATGTGATGTTTGGACCGTAGCTCATCATATGAGTGGTAGGAGGTTACAGTTTGGAATAGCTTTGATGGGTTTTAAGTATGTTCAATAGATATTTGTGAGAATAATGACACTAATATTGAAAAATCCCCTTTAGATTACTAGTGGTTGGGGGTAGGGATGGCTTGAAGACTCTCAACACAATGGAATGTTTGGACATGGAAACTGGATCTTGGGCACAATTGTCTCCTATGAATACACACAGACATGGTTTAGGTGTGGCTGTTTTAGGAGGAACCTTATATGCTGTTGGTGGGCATGATGGCTGGAGTTATCTAAATACTGTTGAAAGGTAACAAGTTTATTGCATTTCAGTTAACCTTTTCTTTTTGATATAAGGGCTCATTTCAATGACGAAAAAATGTATTTTATTGGAAAGAAAGTTTAAATTATAGTTTACTGATACTTGATGAAAATCCATATCATATTCAAGTAACACTTCATTGTGAGATTTTTACTGAACAGTTTACAAAATCACGATGTTTGTCCATTATAATATACACACTGATGTAATAAATGATTGAGAGATTTATTTTTGCATTCTGACACATGAATATCCATTGAAATTGCTATACATCATTTGCAAAAAGTCCTTCTGAATATTTTCATAATCTACTCTGAATTCAATGGTTCTGAATATTTCAAGTTATCAGCAAACAGTAACATTAATACAGAAGTCATTTATTTTCTTACAATTGTTATATATGATACGAATGAATATAATTCAACAGAAAAACTTCTCTAAAATTTCTCGACGCTCTTTTCATCGACCAACTGGGTGAAACTAAATCATCTCCTAATAAGGTCAACTTAATAAAATTCAGGTTAGGTTATTTCAAAATATTTATATCTGAATTGTTATTAATTTTTTTCACAGACATCTATTGATAGTAACATTTCTTGTTGTAGATGGGATCCAGTTGCCCGTAACTGGCAATACGTTGCACCAATGCAGAATCAGCGCTGTTCTGCAGGAATAGCCGTTTTAGGTGGTAAATTGTACGCTGTAGGTGGTAGAGATGGTGCCGCTTGTTTGCGAACTGTTGAATGTTATGATCCTCATACAAATAAATGGACTATGGTTGCAGCATTATCAAGGCGAAGGGGAGGAGTTGGAGTTGCGGTAACAAATGGCTTCTTGTATGCAATGGGTGGACAAGATGCACCGGCCAATAATCCCGCAGCCTCGAGGTTTGACTGTGTTGAGCGATACGATCCTAGTAAGCCATCTTCAATTGATAATAATAGTCATGATTTGATACATGAACTGATAAACAATCAAAATGTATTTGTGAGATTAAACAGATTATGTAAAGCAATCTGTTGAAGAATCTTTCAATTATATCTAAGCATCATCTATCAAAATCTATTCAGAATTGGTGAATTCCTTGTAAACTTCAATAAAATTTATTATCATTTTCAAGGAAATGCATTGATGAGATTGGCCGTATCAAAAAAGATATGAACAAGTTGTTGCTTTAATTAGCTTGCCTCGTAATAAAGCCACAATGATTGCAAAAAAATCGACTAACCATTCGCGCTCGCACCTACATCGGACTTTCAACGTGTCTGGCAAGGTGTAAAAACCATTAAAACTGTCCGGCTATTGAGGTAACAATATTTTATAGGTCCCCAAACAACATATATAAAATTTTGCTTTTATATTATAACGAAAGTATAATTATAATTTATTAAAGTTTAGGGGTGTCTGGCAGCAAATAGAAACTGTCATAAGTGTCTGGCAATGAATGACGAGATTTTTAAAGTTATCCCAAAGAAAATATAAAAAATTGAGATTTATACTTTAACGAATTTTATAAAATAACGAAGGTCTGGCTGTCATGGGCTCTTAGGCTATAATGAACATACACTTACATCAAAAGTTCATATAAAGAATAAAATATGTTTTCTTCAAAGTATTTGTGAACAGCGTTCCTGAAGCATTTTATATTTGACAGTTTGTGAGTTGGACCAAACAGTTCTTTGACGAATATGGCAGTTATTATTTTATTGATGACTATTGAAAATAACGGATTCACCTCAAATTGACTTTCTAGGTACAGATAGCTGGACATCAGTAGCCCCACTATCAAGTAAACGTGATGCCGTCGCTTCCTGTCTGTTTGGAGATAAACTTATCGCAATTGGTGGATATGATGGAGGACACTATTTACGTACTGTTGAACAGTATGACCCTATTAGTAATGAATGGAATACTTTAGCACCCTTGATAACTGGTAGAGCTGGTGCATGTGTGATTGTTATAAATAATGGTGTCAATCTAAATGAGTGATAACAATATTTTCGTTTTTCATCTGAACTGAAAAATGGTGAAATTGCATTTATCTTTCAAGACTGATAATAAAAAATGGACTCAAATCTTTGTCTAGGGTAGATCATTTTTAGATGTTTGTAATAATGATTTTTTACATTGGTGAAATACCGCTCCATAAACATTTCACTAAAGTATTTAAATAAGTATAAGATCACTAAAATATGATAATAATGTCCCTTGGCCAAATTTATAATTTTTTTCAGTATTTCGAGTCTTATGAAGGTTGAAATGAAAATAAGGGAGGTAGATACCCAGTAGTTCTAGTTCAAGACATATCATGAACACCCACTTCTGTGGTATTCTTTTGCTGTAAAATAGAAATGTAAATCAGCTTATCCAAAAATATTTCTAGTTTAAATTCAATTCCTACTATATATTTTCTGTAAGGTTTTTTCAATTCGAAATTTTAATAAAATCTCAATTTTTTTTCTGTGATATTTACTTTTGTGTTTATTTAAAAGCCTTGCAGAAACATTTTTGTGTAAACATAAAGAATGTGATAACTATATGTAACTCAATTGGTAACTGATATGTAAATTTTTAATAAATTTTTTTAACTAGTTTAGATGTTTCTTTCTTGTGAAAGTTAAAATAAAGTTAAGTTATTTCTCAATCAGAATAAAAAAAGACAAACAATACTGCCACAACCAGCTTGGAACACAGTTACAACAAATTCAACATTAGCGAAAATTCCTAAGTACTCACCATTCATTTCCAAAGAATCTTGCAACTGGAATAGGGAAATCATCAAATCAATAAATAACATGAATAGTACAAATACATTAATGAGCAACACTTCCTGATAGATAATAGACACAAGTAGACACCACTTATTTCCCAAAAAACTTTCAGCTTGACAAGTGGTTTGCTCGACAGTATTCGTATTTGGGAAAAGAGAGGTTTTGGCTTTCACTTCTCCATGTGGGAAACTTTCAGAGGAAAGAAGATCAACCAAGCACGCTTGTGCTGTCCACAGTGATGTGAACTGTCAGGAATATACTGGTACGTGCTTGTTTCGTTTCAAAATACATAATATTCTACTTCATATTGGCTCCTCATTACCAAAACGACCTAAATTGTCCTTAGTTTTCTAACTCGTAGGTGAATATTATTGAAGGAAACAAAGTCTTCAATATTCGATTTTTTGTTATCGAATATTGCGAAAACGTCATCCACATACCTTAACCATATCCTAGAAAAATATTTTGACTTTTCTTTGGTTTCCATTTAGAATCTACTCATGAACAGGTTTGCCTATAGCCATTCCCTCCTGTTGTTCATAACAGCAACCATCTACCTGCAAACAGTTTTGTTTCATACACAAATTAGCGAGAGAAACGGATTCATCAATTTTGTTATTATTGAAATTATTTTTCTCTAGTAATTTCCTGAGATATTATAAGGTCTGTGGAATTGGGATGCTAGGAAATAAGGAACTAACATCAAAGGAAACCAAAATCTCAACTTCTTGCAGAACGATGTTTTTTGTATGTTGTATGAACTCTAAAAGAAGTTTTTGATACTAAAACCTGGTTCTGCAATAGGCAAGTCTTCAAATTCCTTAGTGAGCTATTTTGCTATTTGGTAGGTAGGAGATCCAATAGCTGATACAATGGGGCGCATTGATTTTTCCGGTTTGTGGATTTTTGGGAGGCAATATAATTTTGACACCGTTGGGTTGGAAACTTGTAAGTTCCGTTTCAGTTGAGGGGTAAGTATGTTGTGGCATTTCTTGAGGACGTCTTTTGCTTCGGCATAAGGTATAAATAAGGATAACATTGTAAGAATATTTGGTTTGATGTTGCTCTTGAAGATGATCAATTATATAGTACTATATATTACTTATGAAGAAATTTAATAGTAACATTGTATGATATTGAGCAAACTCTGTATGACGGCAATATTTCTACACCCACAGAAAGCATCATCCCATACATAAAAGGTCCATTGCACATTTCCACGTGGCGGAATATTTCACTTTTAGATGAACGAGCTTCACGTATGAGGGTCGTGTTACGATCCTGTCTCTTACAGATATGCTGCCAGAAGCACCACATTCACGCGTCACTTGCTTAAAGCCACGTCACTGGGGACAACTACTTCAGATCGTGGGCGAAAGAGAAAATCGGAAAATCGAAGTTGCTTGTAAATGCAATAAAGTAAGACGAAAGGATTCACTTTCTTACAAGGTTTGTAGATTTCAGATATGAACGTTAAGAAATCAAACAAAAACTATTCTGAAAACTATCTTTTGAATTTCATGGAATTATTTCCCAGCAGCTCGACTGCATTAACCTTTCTTGATTTTATATTTTTTTTACAAACATGTGGATTCGTTCTCCGATGACATTCCAGAAGAGCTGCCAATGTAGTTGTCAGTTGATTGGTCAAACCACCAACGCCTAGGTGGTGATCGTTGAAGAACCACGTGGGAAACGAGGTGAATTTAAAAGTTTGTGTGGGAATTGGTGTTTTTTATCAATCACTAAGCTAATTTTGTGTGAGTGCGACCATACAAAACATTAGTGAGTCAAACTTTCTATATTAATTCTATTGGCGCTTTAAGTTGCAAAACTTTCACTTGCTTAGCTTTGTGTAGTCTCAACAGTCGATGGGGGACGAATCCCCCGGTCCCCCTGGGGGCCATTCCTCAGATGCAAGCATGACAATAGATAATACAAACCTAATATTAAATAATCTTCTATCCCCTTCCTCTCAAACATTTATTAAATCCTTGCATCAAATGTCCCCTGCACAGTCCCAGGCAATAGAAAAATTATACTCCGAACTCAGTATTCTATCAGAACAATTTAAAAATGACCAAACTATGCTTATCCAAATTAATGAATTGTATCGAAAGCTACAAAGGAAAATTACCTACACCAACACTGATTTTGGACCAAACCAAAAGAATGGGATTTCTACCCCTGTGTTGGACATACCCTTCAATCGACAGATATCCTACCAGGGTATTACATAATTCACAAATTAATATTTTTAGCGATCGCTTTATATTTGATATTATGTATAAATAATCAGTTGTCGGAAGCGTCCGATTGGGGAGTGCATGGCACTCTGATCTCTAACATTCATATAACTAATATCAACTTTAGGTTTTTTCCAAACCACAAATACTTGACGCACTTATTGAGCAACTGGATTGTGAGACCAATAAAACGCTATTTCAAAACCTATCTCAATGAACAATTGTTAATTAATGGCTTTAAAGATTCTTCATTGTTATTACCAAAATCATGACTTATTGGTATCATACATTCGAGATCACGTGGTGGATATCATAGCACTCAATGAAACTTTCCTACAACCACACTACTGCACCAAATTGAGGGGTTTCAATCACATAAGACGGGACAGAAAGGACGGACGAGGCGGAGTCGCAATTTTTATTAAAAACCACATCCCTTGTAACAGTATCGACTTCAGCAATATTCCGATGCATGATAATATACAAGTAGTAGGTATTGAAATGAAACATATGATGCTTATTAGCATATATGTTCCGAGAAAAACCCCATACTTTTCACATACTCTAAACAACCTTGTGAACACATATCCAGGACCACTACTGATCTTTGGGGATATGAATACACAACACCCAGCATGGGGCTCTGGCATCTCAAACAGACAAGGTTCCCAGTTGCTGGAACTTGTTGAGGAACATGGCTTAGTCAAACTAAACGATGGTAGCCCTACACGACTGACTGCTCCACGTATTAATGCAAGTGCTCCCGACATTGCCATGTGTTCACCACAACTATCACACAGTATAGACTGGATCGTACTCCCTGATGCTGGAATGAGTGATCATTTCCCTTTTTTATGTTGTCTGAATGATCCAAGAACCTCACAATCAAATACAACTCAACACCGGCAAACGTTCAACACTAAGAAAGCTGATTGGTTTCGATACGAGCAACAGCTACTCAACCAAATACATAGTGGGGATATACCTTACGAAGATCTGGCTGCCATGGTTTTAGACGCTGCTGATTCAGCAATACCAAAAAAATCTCCGGCTATAGGAACAAAACCTCAACATCACTGGTGGGACGCTGATTGCACAGCAGCAATTACAGCAAGGAAACTCACATTTCGAGAATACAAAGACCATCCTCATATGCAAAATTATATCAATGTACGTAAGGTAAGAGCATCCACTAGAAAGCTGTTACGAGAGAAAAAGAAACAAAACTTTCAAATGTTTTGTACACAACTTTCACCTGATACCCCTATTTCTAGGGTATGGTCTTCAGTTCGAAAATTTGCCAATTCCAGACGGCCATCCCGACGATATCCTCCACTAAACAACGACATTGCTGAAGTTATGCTCCAATCTTTAACCCAACCACTCCTTTACAGCATTACTCCCATGGAAAACCCTCATATCCAACCCAGTATACCATTCAACATAGATGAATTGCATGCCGCCCTTCGGTACAAACGGGACATTGCACCGGGTCTGGATCTCATAACTTACAGTATGTTGCAGCATTTACCGCAGAGCGGATTTGCGAATCTTCTGAATATTTTCAACAAACTCCTGAATGGTTCCATTACCATCCAATGGAGTGGAAACGGCAATTACTCTGCCTTATTCCAAAACCTGGCAAGGATATATCGACAGAGTCGGGTTGGAGACCCATTACCCTCACATCTTGTGCTGGTAAACTTTTAGAACTCATGATAAAAAACAGATTGGATTGGCACGTGGAACATCTCAATTTGCTAAATCCCCTACAGTCAGGCTTTCGACGAGGTAGAGGCACTACTGAGAATCTCATTGGAATTTACTCTATCATTGCATCAAATTTAGCATCAGGTAATAACGTGGTAATGGTCTTGCTAGATAGACATCAAGGCAGCTTACGATCACGTTTTTATACCCAAACTGTTGGAACGATTGGCTCAGTGTACAATTCCACATGATCTCGCTACATTGATCGGGCATATCTTTACTAATCGACAAATTAGCATCCAAGATCCAATCACAGGGCGCATAATAGGGCCTGAATCTGCTAACTGAGGTGTCCCACAAGGATCGCCAATCAGTCCTATCCTTTTCAATATTTATAGCGATCCCATAAAACATTTAGTAGAAGACCAGGTATCTTTATTTGGGTATGCTGATGATCTAGCATTGATAAACGTCGGTACAGATACTCGAAAACTTATACATGATCTGTGGAGAGAATTCATAACTTTCTGAAAGATTATGGGCTATCTCCTTCCATCAATAAGTGCCAAGCAATTTCTTTCATCAATAAACACATGCCCGATGTCCGCTATCATATACTCATCAACAACAAACCTATTCCGTGGTCACAAGAGGTAAAATACCTAGGCATAATTTTTCATCATCAGTTATCATGGCGCCCACATATTAATATGATTTGTGCAAAAGCACAA